CTGATCTTTTGATATATTGGGGCTTATTTTCTTTTAGGAGAACATAGTAGTAGAATTAAAGTTGATTTCAGTAACATCACAATATATTAAAAATTGAAAGGGTCTGGTTTATATTTCATTTGCCGTATTAAAGAAGGCTGTAAATGTTTCTTTTGTGTCCACCAGGTCCATCACATCCCTGGATGAGGTAACCTATTCCTAAAGCAACTCTAGTGCTAAAGCAGTATTGCATGGAACACCCTTTCAGAAGTTTTCTCAGATTCTGCAAATATTGAAGAAGGAAACCCATTAAAAATCAGAAGGAGTTTTCTCCGTTACAGTTACATCTGATGAAGCAAGCTGTTGTTAACAAAAGCATATGTTTTTAATAAAATTGACAATCTGAAAAGATGCTACCAGGCTCCTTTTAATTCTATATGACTTCCAGACTTTTTGCATGTTATCTAGAGAGCAGAATGAAGTACAATCTAAGACTAAAAGCTATTGTGTAGTTAAAGGAAGCTGGAAAATGTTATTTATTCATTTTTATCCTGATTCTCCCACTAAAATATAAATTATCTGAAGCATTTTATGACTAAACTGTTCAACAAGAATTAAGCAATAATTTATTTTCTTCATTCAGTAAAGTCATTTCTCACAGGACTTTTTACATTTATTGACAATACCATTCACATCCCAAGAAACCAAGCCCGAGACATCATAATGGCAATCTGTAAAAAAAGACCAAAGAAAAATCTGGCCAATTATCATCCAATCAAACTTTTGAATATAATTAGCAAACTCTATGCCAAACATTTATTCAAAAACTTGTATTACTGGACTGAATATGACTGCCCTAGCTAAAGATGTAGAAGGATTTACGACCAGATCTACTATAAGATGCAGTGGTGGACTTCCAGTTGTGCTTCCGTCACGTCGGAACGGAATCCACGATCATGCACAATTTTGCTCTGTGCTTGCTTGTTGGAAAGTCCGATCAGGACTAGAATCACTCTGGAGGGGTGGTGAAGAAAGGGGGGACTGCCTGGAGGGTCGAGGGGCGCTGCATCTCCCCTCCCTGACAAGGTAAATCCCCTCTGAAGACAAGTTGCAGCAGTGGTCAAAAATGGCCACCATGAAGACGGTAGGCAGTCCAGGCATCTAAGTGTGCTGGAGTGGTGAAGCTGTGAGCGGTATGTAAACCAGGCAAAAAACATGGAAATTAAGTTACCCCGGAATTAAGAAACAAAGAATTTTTTATGAAAGATTGTAGAAGCGGCGACCAAAGAGAAAGAGAGAGAGTGAAGGAAATTGGAAGCTTGTGAAATTGGCTTTGGACTTTGAAAATAATTAATTTGGAGGTGGAAAATTCAGGAAAAAAAAGATTGGATTATAAAAGGCTTGGAAATTGAACTGGATAATTATTTGGATTTTGGCACTAATAGGCATAATTAAATGCTGGAATTAAATGTGTTAAAAAGAAATAACTAATAATTGGAATGAGCAAAAAAAACAACAGCTTTAAAAAAAAGGAAAAAGTGAAAAGAAAGGGTGGAACGTCAAAACAGAACTGAGACCGCCACCTAATGATAAACGAAAAATTTCAGTGATTCTTTGAAAAGTGCTTGGTCTTTTTAAAATTGGAATTTGAAAGGAAATAAAAGGAATTCCATTACAATAAAATAAAAACCCTGAAAAGTTAATTACTAGAATATTACAAGGAAAAAAAGATATGTGAAGAAATTGCCCTGGGATTATTTGGTGACTTTGGGAAAAAGTTGGGAAAAAAATTAAGAGAAGAAACCTGGAAACAAGGACTTATGGACACCGACTGTTGAAATTAAATATAAAAGACGCTGGTTGTAATAAACTACTGGACAGAGAAGAAAGGAGGAAAAGAAAGGAGGAAAAGAAGAAGTAGTGTACAAAATGGGAGAATTATGTGTGGAAATATAATTGGAACTACAAAATTTGAAAGAAATGATGAAAGTAAGCTTGGAAATGTGCAGCATTATACTACAAAAATTAGAAATGGCGATGCAGATTGAAGAACAAAGAGAACCAGAGGGGGAGGAGTTAAAAAAAGAGGAAACCAGCCTTAAAGAACAAGTGGAACAACGAACATTAAAACGGGGTAAAAAGAATTAAAGCTAAAAACTTGAGGTTTGATGTGATAATTAAAAGGGGAATTGTTTGGAAAATTAACCAAAGGAAAAGGAAACAGCAGAAGAGGGAATTACAGAGGAAAAATCAAGAGATGGAGGGGAATAAGATAAATAATTGAAATAAGAAATGGAGGGAAATAATAAAAGAAAAAAGGGGAATTAAGAGAAAGGACCAGAAAATGATGGGAAGCAGAAAGCAAACAAAAATGAAGAAGAAATTATATAGTCAGGAGGATGAGAGACAATGGGTAGAAGAAGAACAGGAAAGGGGATTCTGCAAGGTAATGTGTGGTGATATATAAGAACATAGATTTAAAAATAGAAAATAATGGAACTGATTTTTTTTTCTAAGAATTATTGTTAAACTAGATATAGATTTAATTGAAATAGATATGGAAATGTGAATTTATTATAAGTATATTAATTGATATCTAATAAAGCGATAAATAAAGTTAAAATGAGCTATGATAATTGTAATGGAAAGATGATTATCAGTTTCTAAAATTAATTGAATAGAATAATATTTTTGAAACAAATAGATGATTTAGAATGTAATTAAGCAAAAGAATACCATGCAGAATTTATATATATATATATATATATATATATATATATATATACATATATATATATACATACATACATACATACATACGCATATGCGATATGTAGTAGTTCGGAGATTATTGTTATTAATGTAGAATGTGATAATTAAAAATGACTATATTAGGGTAAATCTTTATAACAATTTAAAGAGAATAAATTGGGGGAGTATATAAAGGGGGGGCAAACTTGAATTGACAATTAAAGGGGACAACTTTTGGATTATCAGAATTAGGATGGAACCTATTGAAGAATGAATGGAATAAATAGTATGTAATAAAATTGCAAATGTGACAGATAAGAGTAAATATGTGTAACGAGTATAGAAATGAAATAAGAATCTTATATAATATTGTAAAATAAGATATGAAAATATTTAAAGAAAAATGAAAAGTTATGATATGAATTGTAATTGGATAAACACATGTAATTAATATAAGAATATTTGAGAATATTTAAAGAAAATGGAATAAGTAATAATACGATATGAAATTGAATATGAAAGATATGTAATTATGGTCATGCTTCTATTAAAATGTAAAAACCTGGAACCACATTGTTTATGAAAAGAGATGACTTGTAAAATATAAAAATAAAAAATTTATTGGGGGAAAAAAAGATGCAGTGGTATATATTTAGTATACTAGTAGATACTCATGGATCTAGAGCAGTGGTCCCCCCTTTTGGGCATATCTGGTTCTGTGGAAAGTTTTCCCAAGGACCAGAGGGGGGCATAGTTTTGCATGCTGTTTCTAACTATTTACAATTAAAAGTAAATTAATATTTGCAGCTAGGCAGTGAAATTTATTTTGTTTAAGCTAATGCTGTTTTAAACAAGCTATTTTTCTAGACTCTTTAATTTGGAATACTCCAATCAAATAAAGAAAAGGTAGACATTCTAATATTTCTGTTGAATAAATAAAGAAGGGCCCCTGCCATAGACAACTGTAATTGTTTTTTAAAAGGTTGGGGGAAAGTAATAGAATTGTGGAAAAATAGTTTTAAAACTAAATAAATCATACCATAGGTATTTTGATTTTAAAATATAAGTGTAAGTTATCTAAAAAACTGCAGCAGTTGCACAAAAAATTCAAAGTACATCACCATGCAAAAAAATGTAGTAGAAATGCTATCAAACTATTGGTTTTTTAAAGATTCTGTAAGATTCAGATATCCTTTCAGTTTTGTCTCAAGAATGAATATAGATTCATTTTTGAGATGAAAATTATATTCCTGAATTATTTAAACTACCCACATATTTGAAATATGTGGCATTTTTCTTTCATTTTCAACTGTTTATTTATTTTGAATAATTTGAACTTCCAATTTATACATCAAATCCATTATTGCTGAATAGTGACCTTAAGACACCTTCATTCATAAGTGGAACAGACTATTTACTCCACAAAAAAGGACAATGATTAGGAGTATTACCAATATTAAAAAAGAGTATTACCAATATTTAAAAAATTAATATTAAAAATATTAAAACACTGTTTTCTGCATAAATAGTTCCTCCTAATATAACCAAATCAAACCAAATCTCTAGATTTGCACAACTAGGTTAGATTAAAAGCAAATATGTTGCTCTATATGCATTGAATAATTGGGACTTAAAATACAAATTACTAAATTTGAAAATATTTCAGTAGCTTAACTTAAATTTAGTTCATCTGATCTAGATAACATTCATTTTGAAAATACCACATTCTGAATTCCAGAAAGTGAATATTAGACTATAATTGGAAAGATCCACGTTCAAATTTATCCTCAGCCATGCAAGCTTAACAGTTGATTCCCCAAGCTAGCTGTTAGCTACCATGAATTTGTGGAGAAAAAGTATGATATACATAAAGCGTGATTCTCAGTTACTACATTGTATAAAGATGAGTGATTGTCCCTTTGTTGTTAGTAAAATTAATATCCATAGACCAATGTTAGTAACAATATATCTTATACTAGCTTTCTATTAAACAAAAATATTGTGAAACAGAATCCCAACCTCCAGATAAAATTTAGATTGGTCCTTTATTCTGCAAGTATCTTTAGATAGAGTTAATTTTTAAGATTTTAAAAGTAAAGATTATTTTAAAAAACCTGCAATTAAATAAAAATAAATAAATTGCACATACTATCAAATGTAGTAATAATCTTGTGATACAATTTTTGAAGGATTGGGATTTTTAATTTAGCTAAAATATACAAAATCTTAATTTCAAATTTGTATTAATTGAAGAGGAAATTCAAACTTACTACTTGCATAAGAGTGAGTGTCATCCTCGCACATTTTATTCAACTGTTGATACTCTTCTTGTGCTAGTTCAAATCGCTGCTGCTTAATTTGATAAATTTCCATTTTGGCATTAAGTGCTTCCTGAGCGACGATTAAATATTCCTTTAGCATGCGCTCCTGTTCTCTTCTCCATTGCTCTCTTGGGTCTTCAATTTGTGTGTGTTCTGATTAGAAAGAAAAAAGTATTCCAACATGTTAAATGAAAAAACACAGAGATGTACAAAATTCACATATTACAGCAAATAAATCACATTTTTATTTTTTAAAAAAACCTAATGTCTAAAACTATACTGACATTTAACTTAAACTTTAAAAACTGCATTCTATCCAGTCTACTAAGACTTCAAAGAAATGTACTTTACAACCAAGTTATTACAAGGCGTAATGCTAAATAGATAATGATCTGAATCAATCTAATAATTAGACATAATTTTATCACTGCTTCTGCAAACGTGCTCCATTTCTTCCCCTTTGGCTCAACTTGAAGATACTGGAATATTTGCATTATTTGGTAGCTACAGATAGTCATTGGCTAACAACTATTTGTTTAGTGACCATCAGAAGTTACAATGGCACTGGGAAAAGTGACATATGACCATTTTTCACACTCACGACCACTGCAACATCCCCATGGTCATGTGAACAAAATTTGGATGTTGGGCAACTGGTTTATATTTATGATGGTTGCTGTGTTCCAGGATCATGTGATCACCTTCAGTGACCTTCTGACAAGCAAAGACAATGGGGAGCCAGATTCACTTAACAACTGTGTTACTAATTTAACAACTGCAGTGATTCACTTAACATCTTTGGCAAGAAAGGTCATAAAATGGGACAAAACTCACTTAACAAATCTCTTGTTTAGCAACATAAATTTTGGGTCAATTGTGGTTGTAAGTCGAGACTACCTGTATAGTTTCTTTTCCTGCCCTAACTGGAAAACATTGTTAATTTTAATTGTACCTAAACAAGCCAAGACAATGATTCTCAATTTGTCTTTTTCTTATAAATGACTATTACAAAGTAGTTTGGATGCAACAACAAACAGCAACTACAATTAGTCCCTGACTTACAACTAAAATTGGACCCCAAATTCTCATCACAATTGTTGAGATTGTAATTCAAGTCAAATTTTATGATTATTTTTATGGTGGTAATTAAGCAAATCACAGAAATTATACAAATAACACAGTTGTTAAGCAAATCATATAGTTATTAAGTGAATCCTGTTTCCCCAATGATATATTTTTGCCCGAAATCAACATAATTATAGGACGCTGCAATTGGTTTCAGGTACAAGCCAGTTGATAAGCACCTGAACTGTGATCATATGATTACAGGGTGTTATGACGGTTGTAAGTGCGAGTATAGATCGTAAGTTTCTTTTTCCAAGGCAATAAGTAACTTTGAACTATCATTAAACGAACGGTCATAATTCAAGGATTACCTATATTTGAAAACTGAACAGGATGTCTCATGATCAAGTAGAAGTTAGAATAGGGATTGTATAAAATTTCAGTTACCGATTTGTTCAAGGCCTACACTGACCTTTAAAGTTGAATTAGAACTTTCCATAGCAAGAACTAGAAAGTAAGTTGAAGTAACTTTCCACAGCAATATTCATTTCATTAATGCATAAAATGTGAAAAAGTCCATCTTTTTCAAATGTTTAAGTGGCAAACAGTAAGGAATACTGATCAAATTCCCGGCAATTTGTTGGTTTTTAGCCCAGATTGCTGGCCTATTCATAACAGGGTGTAACAATTATAGTTTATGAACCATAATTGGAAGGAGACAGCTTTAGAACTAAACTTTTTAAACAAAAGTATTATGAAGAAAGGGAAACAAAACTGTCAACACATTCATCAGTCAGACCTGGAGTTATTTTCATTCAGATTAATCCTGATACCAATCCTCATTGACAAGAGGAGAAATGATGCACTATAATTCCTCTTACATCTTTAACAAACATTTTAGTGTTAATGTGGCTATTTAAAAGTTAGGAAAAATAGTATATTTGGGTTTATAGGCTAATTATATAAATGTAAAGGCAAGATTTCAGGAAAAAATCTCAATCTGAGCAATGTTTCTAAAAAGTTTCCTGTGGTCATTACATCATATGAAACACTGAGTGCCCAGAAAATACACAAAGGATGAACACATTAGTATTTTACATGCTGTTGCTGAATCCAAAGCCAGGGAGTGTCTAACTAGCCTTGTAACCCTTAGATAGTTTTGAACTTTTATCTTTTTTTGGCACCAGCCATTTTAGCAAACAAAAATAGAATGTTCTAATTCAAAGTATCTGTAGGATTTGAGGATGCCCGCTTCTGCCACATGATAATTTAAAGGTATAGCTGTGCTTGAATTTTTTTTTAAAAAAAGCATTTAAAGTTCCTTCAAAGCCAGCCAAATATTTTCACATCGACTTTTCTATACAAAAAGTTAATTTTTAGTTTAATTAATTATTGGTAACTATAACCTGGTTATTGTTCTCTAGGAAATGCTATACCCAACCTCCCTACCTCCCCACCTCCCTAAAGAAAACACTATACTGTTGTGACATCCCTAGAAAGAGACCCAAACATCACCATCCTGCCAGCTGACAAAGGAAGAACACAGATGTCTACAAGGCCAAAGTGAACGGTTTTCTGAAGGACACTGATGAATGAGACTCTGAAGAGAGATCCCACCAGCAGTTACAAGAAAAAAGTCATTGATTTCCTGCAACAACTACTGAAGGACAATGCCATCAACAAGCCACAATACTATCGCCTTTACCCTGGGGGCAAGCAACTCCATGCATACATGGATTTCCCAAAATCCACAAAGAGGGAATTCCACTCAGATCAACTGTCAGTATCATCAACTCTGTCACCTATAATGTTGCAGAACATCTAACCATCCTATTAGCGCCTCTTGTCACAATACCACCTATCACTTCAACAATTCACAGGACTCACCAGCAAGGTTTGGAAATTAAAACTGGACTTGGATGAGACCATGGTTTCCTATGATGTGACTTCCCTCTTCAGCTCCATTCCAACAACTAAAGCTGTCACAGTAGTGAACAAACAACTGGTGTAAGACAGCACCTTAGGTGATGGAACCAACGTCAGCCCAGACCACATATTTGCCCTGCTGGACTTTTGCCTGACTACTACCTATTTTAAATACAATGAAGGTTTTTACAGACAAAAACATGGCTGCACCATGGGGTCACCTGTGTCCTCCATAGTGGGCCATCTCTACATGGAAGAGGTAGAAACCAAAGCCCTAAACTCTTTCACAGGAATTCCATCCACTCACTGATACAGAAATGTGGATGATACTTGGATCAAAATCAAAACCCAGGAATTGGAAGCGTTCACCGAACATCAGCTCTGTGGACAGATATAATGAATTCACACAGGAAGATGTTAAGGAAAATTGTCTGGCCTTCCTAGATTGTGCAGTACACATTAAGGAAGACAGAAGCCTTAAGATTGAAGTTTACAGAAAACACCCACACAGAGATTAAGATTTACATTTTGATTTCCACCACCCGCTGGAGCACAAAATGGGAGTTTTCAGAACCCTACACCACTGCCAGCAAAGATGGGAAAGAAAATGAACTAAAACATAATAATGAAACTTTCAGAACATGTGGCTATCCCAACTGGGCCTTTATCAAATCCCCCAAAAGAGCTCATCCATAATAAAGAAGGGAATAATAAACAAAGCAATGCTGTCATTCCATACGTTGCAGGAATATCTGAAAAGCTCAGGAGGATTTTCAACCAATACAACTTTAAATCCAAGAATACACTAAGGCAGAAGAAACTTGTCCACCCCAAGGATAAAGCACCCAGACACAAACTGAGCAATATGGTATTACGGAGTACAATGCAGTATGTGAAGTACAATGCAGTATGTTGGGAAAACAAAACAATCACTTCACAACAGAGGGAGAGGGATGCAACATTATCTATCTCCTGTCTACAATACAGTCCTTTCAGCAGTTCCAAGAAGGCTCCACGCACATTTGCACTACTCAGGTGATCCTGAGGACACAGATAAACCTCCAAGTGGCTACAACAAATCTCTGAAATAATGCAAATGACCAGCTATCTGCAAAGAATATAAATTTTTCCATTCTCCACCATCCAGTCAGAGCTGGAGAAGCTTATTGGATGAGAAGCGAAATATATTCAGAGAACAACAAGAAAATCCAGTTGCCTCTTGAAAAAGCACCTTTGGAATAATCATGAGTGGATGACTGAGAATCTCCATAGACATGTACTACTATGCTACTCTACCAAAATTACTTGGGTAATTGAGTAAGATCCAGGAATGGATCACTCATGATTGATAAAGGGAGGGTTAGGATTAGTCCTATTCTTTCAGTTTTAATCCTTCTTTTTCATCTCTTTCCATTGTCTTTTCTTCTGTTCTTTCCTATCTCTGCTGCCATTGTCCATCTGCCATTTAATCTAATTCGAAGGTAGCATCCTGGACTTTTCTACTATGGCTACCATCAATGGAAAGTCTCTAAAGATTTTTAAAAAGCAATATTAAATCCAAAATTTGAAGGAAAAAATAATTTATATAAAATCCCAGATATTTGAGTATGCGCATTAGCACATATCAAGCTTGTTAATATTATTCAATAGCTCTATCTCCAATAAGTTATGACAGAAATCTTCAAACAAATTACACAAAAACAATCCTAAACCCATGAGAATTGTGCAAATTTTTTCATATTTCAGGACAGCATCCACAATAGCAATAATTTTATAATTTTATTGTATCTTTCTCCCTTGCCCAACTCTGATTTGTCTATATATAAATGAATATTTAGGATCCAAGTTTTATATAACTGCATAACTTAAAATAAAAACAAAACTGATTACTCACGATTTATGTGGTCCATGTAATAAACACCAATCTGTTGATCGTAAACAGTTTCCCATCCTAAAGGTAGTTCATCACCAACACAGTCAGCAAAAGTTAATGGCTTGGTAATCCTACAAATATTATACAAAAATAATAAAAAGTTCAAACATACTGTGTTTAATTATCATTATAGTTGACTATAATGTAACTTGGATAAATTATGATTAAGGACATGACTTTTTAATGCCAAAACTTTTAACATATGATAAAGAAAATCAATCTCAAGTAGGAACATTTAAGAAAGGCAAGAGTAACACATTTTACTTTCAGATATGAACTTTACAATTTACGTATAATGTCACGTGTTTTTTTTTTCTCAATGGAAGTTGTATGAGTGCCATCACGTGAGACTTTCAAGAAGAGATTGGACTGCCATTTGTCAGAAATGGTGTAGGGTCTCCTGCTTGGGCGGAGGGTTGGACTAGATCACCTACAAGATCCCTTACAACTCTGAGTATCTGTTAATTCTTTTTCACTCCTTTGCTTGTATCACTAGTTCCCAGAAAGTAGAAATATTTTGAACTCTTTGAATATTTTAGATTGTGTGCTTAAAGTCCCAAACAGCTTCAAACCTAAAATAGCACCTTTATGACTATTGACATGACATATATGATTAACATAACTGTTACTTTTCAGATATATTAGTGGGGGAAACAAATGCAGTTTAATATTAAACATTCAGTATTACATTTAAACTAGAAACTAAAACCTCACTACTGAAATCGCCACATGGTAATAGAAATGACTGCACCAAATATACAAACATACTCAGATATATTGCCACTGATTTAGAAGGCAGACAGTATCTTATTATTACACTCTTATCTTTAGCTCTCATAAACACACACAAAAAAAGAAATTATAAGAGAGTGTATATATTTGTGTTACAAAAATACCTTATTAAACTTTTTGTTTTGAAACAAGGAGAAAAGGAAGCAAGGGCAGTCTTTCATAGCATTTGCCTACTAACACTTCAAAGTTTATCTGAAAGCTTACATTTCAACTAGAGAAATGTGATTCAGAACACATGTGAGTACACATATAGCCCCTGTTGGAAATACCTTTAAAATGTGTCATTCCCAGTCATAGCTGCTTAACTACAGGAAAAGTCACAGTTGCTTTAAAGTGTTTCTGACACATACTACATTCATGCCTCTGCATGAGCCAAATCACATCTGTCCTTTTGAATCTAAACGGGTAATCTTGGTTTCATCCAATTCCTGGTTCACTTGTTGTCCATATACTTCTCTCAGCTACTCTCAACTATTCTCCATATACTTCTCTCAACAAACATATTTTTCAGATTTTCCTGATTTTGCTTTTTTCTTCACAATATTTAAATCTTGCTTTGTTCTTATCACAATCCACATTGTTGCTCCTAGCTACTTTTGCTTGTTCTGTTTTTAGTCGGGTTCAATAAGACTTTGATCATTCACTCACCACTTCTATCTTGTATCTCTGCTCTAATATCTGACATATAGAATGCATATTTTAATTCCATCTCTATATCTTGAATAATCTGCTGTGTATTATTCAATCCCAATCATAATTTCTATTAACAATTAAAAAGAATCTATATACTGTATTATATTTGTAGGACAAATCATCTTGCAGGCGCTACCTGTAAAATCTACTACATTTTATTTAGATACAAGATACAACTCAGGAAGCAATCTTTCCAGTCACTCATACAGCTGCCAGAAAAAAAGTGAAACTCCTTGCTGACAACTGGTGTATGTGTGTTGCATGTGTGTATACATACATACATATACATACACACAAACACATATCAGTTGTCAACATATATACACCCTACACCATCAGCAGCAAACACAAGCATTCATATATATTTTCAGCATCCTCATTACTTAAAATAGTTAAAATGTTAGCTATAGAATTTATTTCATGTTCTGAAAGAGAAAGTGACTTAACTATTTTAAACTTGGAGAATATTACAATTTAGCATACTTCTTTCATAGAAGACCAACTGTACCAGCTAAGAAAATAACCTTTAGGTCTTTCCTGATGTAGACAAACTCAGAAGAATACGCTGTTTTCTAGAATGATTTTGAAAAATCACTTTTAAACAAAGATTTGATTAGGAAGTTTTAAAGAAACTAAAATTAAAATTAACTATTTATAAAAATTATGACTTGGTAAAGCAAATAAAGCAACAACTCTGGGCATGTCTTCATTATGTTCACTCATGAATATATGTATATGTATAACATATTACACACACACATATATATATATACATATATATACATACATACATACATACATACATATACATATACATACACATACACATATGTGAATGAATATATGTATACACACACACACACACACACACACACACTGTTTACTTAAATCCAATCAAAACAGACCATTAAAACAATATCAGATTTTAAACTTTATATTTACTAAGCTCATAATTATAAATCTATCAATATTCCGTATTAAATTTTGAAAGTGATCATAAAATGAAACATGGGTAAAGAATTTAAGTTGTTTCACAAAGTTCAGGGGAATTCAGACTATTGAAAAAACAGAGTGATGGGCTTCAAACTTGTTATTGCTCTTTACCTATATTGACATCACTGGATGTGTCCCCAATCTTTAAGAAGGTAAAGATAACTACAGGCCAGTCTGCTTAATATAACCAGCAAACATACTAACTGCTTCTATAATAATTGAAAGGAATGGATGAACCAGGGAATATTGAAAGCGGAAGAGGAGGTCAGTTTGAGAGAAGGTATAGGCCCCATTGAAGAATGTTATTTTTTTTACTACTGGTTCTGTGGGCATGGCTTGGTGGGTGTGGCTAGGTGGGCATGGCCATGCGACTGAGTGGGTGTGGCTTTTTTGTAGCCACCCCCCCTCCGGTTTTGAGGCCTTCTGGGTCTCAAAGGAGCCACTGGGGGCGGCATTTTTGCTCCCAGAAGGATCCTCTGGGGCTCAGGAAGAAAAAATCAGAGCCTGGAGGGAGCACACAGTACCCCTCCTGTCTCCATTTTGGGACCTTCCTAGCCTCAGAGGAGCCTCTAGGGGGGCATTTTTGCTCCCAGAAGGCTCCTCTGGGGCTCAGAAAGGCAAAAAATGGAGGGGGCTGAGCTCCTCTCTCCATTTTTTGCCTTCCTGGGCCTCAGCAAGGGGAATCCTGGCACAGCTGATCATGTGAACAGCTGATTGTCGGGAGCGGGGAAAAAAGAAAGAAATATCTTAACGGGCAAGCGTCAGGCAGATGGGGTAAGCAAGCATCGGGCGGGGTAAGCAAGCCAGCAGTGACTGGGCAACTGGGTCGGGGGCGTGGCCAGCCAGAACTTTCTACTGGTTCAACGACCCACAGCAAATCCTTGCTACTGGTTCGCCCAATGCAGTGCGAACTGGCTGAATACCACCACTGGCCCTACAGCACTTGATCAGAAAATATTCAAACAGCAATGTGATATCATTGTACAGTACCTTCATAGATCTTAAAGCATCTTTGTATTCTGTATTCAAAACCAAAGTAAGGAAAAACCTGGAAGCCACATCAATAAACTGTAGGTGTCTCCATTTAATTCATGCTCCACACTCTAATATGATTCTTAAGGTCAGAGGCAATATGCAAAGGTTTCTTTCAAAGTCAGTTAAACTTGAAATAAGATAAAACAGCAATGTATTCTGTCCCACCCTTTCAATTTTTATATCAATGATATGATGAGATATCCAAACAATCTAAATTTCCAACTCCCTAAACTAGGGGATCACAGCATTGCCCTGATGTTCTATGCAGACAACACCGTGGCTCTTTCCAGAACACCAAGAGACCTCAAAAGAGCTCTGAGAACTTTGGCCTGATCCTGGAGCAATGATAATCTGCAAATCAGAAAACCAAGATTATGGCTTCTGTCAAAAAGCCAAAGCTCTGCTTATGGAACATAAAATAGAACAAGTGATTAGTTCTGATTATTTAGGAGCAATCATGCATGCTGCTGGCTTGAGAAAAGCCCACTGTAAATATGCTGCTGTTACTAGACAAAGATCTGCCAATGCCATCCTTAAATTTTTCCAGTCCAATGGAGGATATTAGATTCCAGCTGCACTTAAGCTCTTTCAGCAAAGTCCAATTGCCTTATGGGATTCTGGTTGGCCCTCAGCCTCTTGTTTCACTTCTCTGGAGAGGGTACAATCCAAATTTATCAGAGCCGATCTCAAGATATCACACTAGGTCTCAAATATACAATGAATCTCAAAACACAAACATACTTCTATGACTGGAGAAAAGTATGATATCAATTGACTCCTAAGTTTTATAAACCTTTGGTTAAAGCTCAACTTCTATCCTCAAAGATTAAAACCATTCAGGACAATTTTCAGTCCACATGGGTCAAAGCTGTTGATCTAATCTTTTAAGTCTAGGCTACTTTCCCTCTTCAGTACTTAAGACGGAATATGATCAGCTGAAACAAACCCTGAAGCAAAGGTTAAAGAATATAGAGAGGCGAACAGTTTAGGGAAGGCCCTAGCTTTCCTGACACCAGTACTCAACAGATATATTGCATTGCTGCCAGCTACACCTGACACAACTAGAAACATGCAGTCATCGGTAAGCTTTCTCTCTTGCCCAATGCCATCTCCACCCTTCTGTAGCAGTGGACAGTAAATATTAAAAAAATACCATTGGCTGAAAGATTCTGCTTCTGTGATTCCGGAAAGTGGACACTATAGAACAGAGGTGTCAAACTCGCAGCCCGTGGGCCAGATGCGTCAGGTGCTGGCCCTGCCCCCATCTGGTTTAGCAAAGGGGGAAAAAATCCCAATACGTCATGTGACAATGCCATGACGACGCAAGTTTGACACCCCTGCTATAGAACATGTTCTTCCTTTCTTCTAGGTTTTGTGCAGCAGTACAGAGGATCTGTTAGAACCTGATGGTTCAATCTCTTGCAATGCATTCTTTGTAACTATAATTTATTTAAATTTTATAATAGATATTATTACTTTGTTGATATTTATAGTTTTAGATACTATTACTTTGTTGTAATTTTAGATGTTTTCATATTTAATATAATTTTAGTGCTTA